TTACAAGAGTATGAGTGATGATGTAGTTCAAAATGCCTATATCGTTAGACTTCTGGAATCAGTGATATTTATGTACTGAAACTCCTTTTTTTGTCTTGACGTCCTACCTATCTTTCACCGTGTCTAATATCTGCTCTCTTTCATTCTTTTACTGTCTTCCACCTCTGTGTTGATTGCCTACTGCTGACATTCATTCTCCGTTCTCTAGTTTGCCATGCAAAGTTCGTGCTCATGTTTATTTTAGTACCAATTACAAATTTTTAAATATAGTAATCAAACTAGTGATCATGGTAAATTCTGTATTTCTTTGAAACGAACTACGTCAGTATGGTGCAAAATTAATACTTACAGTGTCTACTATTATCATTTTCGATTTCTCAACTCGAACTTCTTAAAATAACTTTCACTAGTTGGAATATCTGTTGCTAACCGAGTTCACTACATACTATTTGCCTAATCACAGTCTTCAGACTGATCATATAAAATAAATGAGAATCTAGTCTTTACTTATCTGGATATTTGAATGTTTCTAGAGAACAGATCTGACTTAAAGATGATTAAGAAAACAATTCTTAGTACTACTTTGCTAATACCTAAATACTAGGAAAAGTAAGTTGGGGACGTGTAGTCCCACCTTACCTTCTGCTGACCGCTTCTCCGATTGTTTATCCTCTGCCAACCGTCATTTTTTATCGACTCGACAACAACACCAAATGACCTTTTTGAGGCGCATATATAAGGCTTACAAAACCATTTCCATGGTAATATTAGGTAAATAAATGTTACACAGTTTTGTTGGTTAATACATAGGTCCCACTGTTCGAGTAAATATTCTTATCTTATTATAGTGTTTCGAAGTAATCCTAAGTTTCAGTGCCCACAAATATGTCATCTTATCATATGAACCACACATTAACATGAGTTAAATCTCAATGAAGTTCTTATACTACCGAAAAGTATAGTTGACTGTGTTAAAAAGCTGCCATTGATATGGTGGTAGTATTTTATTGTGGTTTCGGGAAACGCCTTGCTCATAAAAACTAGATTTTAGTCTGAAGACTTCGTGTATGAGAGATCTCTTAAGCCATATGTCCCTCTGTTTTGATAGATAAACAATTAAACCGTCTCCCACATCGTAGAAGTGCCATGTGGCACAAAATCTAGGTCCAAGGTTTCCAGTTGACTACCTCCAACTACCATGCTTTTTGCAAAATGTCGGTGCGAAAGTAAACAGTAAGAATAAATAGGTTGTGTGTCTTTATTCCATCTAGGGCACATATTGGATAAACCCTTTTGAAAAAATCACCACCATCTCTCCACTGAAGAATTGTGCGACATATTTTCTGTCCCGTTTTGTAATTTGCTATTCGCCAAATTTATGACATACGACATTTTAATTGAAATATAAATGGAGCAAGCTTTTCAGTAAAACGGTTTTTTGGCGTATCTCACTTTTACACGTACGTTTGGAATGATCAGCACACTGTGGTTGGCAAATCAGCAAATTACCCGTAGGTAGCTTCTGAGCTATTTTTCTTACGTATCAGTGCTTGTAAAAAACAGGTACTTTGTGTATGCACAACAATATGTGTGCCAGTTAGCAATAAGTCGGATTGTTTAAAAAAGATTAATCACTGGGTGGTAATCAATGTCATGTATGTCAGGTCCCTCTTAGTGCATATCGAATCCTATCGACCAGTTTAGGTGAATCGGCATTGCTTGCGCTATATTGAGATAGGATGGTAGTCGAAGGTAGTCAACTGGGAACCCTGGACCTACGTTTTGTGCCACATGGCACTTGTCAGCAAAATATACCTTGAGGGAACTGATGCTCCCTGATGGATTCGATCCCGTGTCACCTAGCTTCACAGTCAGAGACGTTACCACTGAGTTGTCTAAGCCGTGACTAACCTCAGTCTGACTTATTTGAAAAAAATACCTTTTAACCCTCATAAAGTCATGCTATTGTTTCTCACTAAGCCAGGCTGTCGTTGATTGTGTGATATAGTAGTTTTAATTTTACTGACATCGTATAGCTGAATCTTTACACGCAGATCAACTTCACAATGGCAACAAAAAGGATCTAGAAAAGTTTAACTCTCTCTGGCTTTCTTTAATTAGAGATTGATCATAAATAAGCACCCCACCACCAGCAATCACAAGCTACCCAGATGCACACAAAGTTTTAGAATAGCTTGCACAACAAATGATAGTCACCAATAAGAAAATGAAGGTCATTATTTTCTGAAAGTAATGGTGGCTAGTTGACACACCATACTTTGAGTTAACCAAAAGCTTCAAGAGTTCAAAAAATATCAATGAATTAGCCAGATGTAGAGTCTTTGGCATAAAAATTTTCACTTGGTTAGGTAACAAAGTATAATATACTGAAGTGGCTAGACTACAGGTTACACGTTGTGATTTGCAACTTACTGATTCTCACAATGTTGGCTAAATTGTAGTTTGAAAAAGAAAGATTAAAAAAAGGACGTGACAGTATTCTTCAAAATAACTAAGATTGGGTCTTAGTCTATTAAAGAAATTGAAGCTTCTTGGTAGTGTTGCAGAAAAATTAAAAACCTCTGGTTAAGAACTGTGCGAAACATTCTTTGAAATTGGTAAAAATGATGCTAATACACTTATTCTTTTTCTACGCTTATGTTGAATGTTCTTGTGGATTCTACAATTTTTCACGCAAGTTAATTCCATTTGCAAAGTTCAGTATTTCTACCCATGTTTTAGTCAGAGAAGTTAACCATCAATTCTCATGTTCCTTGTTTTTTAGGAATCATCAAAATGGCCAACTCACATTAATAGCATATAAAGATGCTATTCAAACCTTAAAAAACAATTTAATGTGTGATAGTGATAGTGATGATGAATGGTTTATTGATGAGTTTGTTGGATATCCGGACGAATTGGAAATGGTCTACAGAAAGCCAATACTACTTGGCAAATCAAATACCAGCTGTTTATTAACAAGTGAATCTTTATTGTCGGGTGAAATTTTAGCAGAGTATCGTATAGTTTTCAGCCATAGTTATCAAGTGCCTGTTCTTTTAATGCGTTTCCAGACAAAAAGTGGCCGTTCATTACATCATGACAAACTGTGGAGTGAAAATTTTCGTTCATCTGTGTTTCCTCTTTCTGATGTACCACTACCCCTACATGCCCTTAGTGAAATCGAACATCCACACCTCGGAATTCCGTTTTATGAGTTCCATCCCTGTAAAACTGCTGATCTCATGAAGGAAGTATTTTATTCGCGGCCTACTCAACTTAATGATCCGGTGAAATACATGATTATGTGGTTAAGTTTAATCGCTTCTCCATTTGGACTTCATCTTCCACAAAAATCGTTACTAACTTAAAACTTTGAAAGGATCTCTAACACTTGCGGAAATTTATATATAATTAATAAGCTTCTTTTTACATTCATATTTTGTAAATTAATCTGTTTTCAGTTATTTAATTAAAATATTGCCTTCATACTGCTTTTGTCATTAGTTATTTTGACGATTGAATCGGTCTATAGTGCAAATTTTTCATTTCATTTTATCTGTTAGCGAAACAATAACAATAAATCCTTTCACTTTTATTGTTGACCTTAATTTGCATTTAGGTTTTTAAACGTAGATCGATGAAGTATATGGACTTTAAACATTCAATTTAACAGAATATTAGCAAAGTAGTACAATGACTGGTGATCAAACAGTGATATTCTGAGTTACATGTACTCTTCACACTGAGTAGCTTTAAACTTTATACGGTGAGGAGTGGTTCCGATTGTTGCGATTTTCAACAATGCAGTAAGAACAAACTGGCTGTTCACACAAAGACTGAAGAATACGTAATTTCTTTTTAAAAGGAAAAAATCTCAATCAATTCTAGGCTCACTAGTCGTATCAGCAGTCGATTAACGTACGAATCAAATGACTTCCCTACAGAAAAGCTATGACAGAACAGGCGGCTTATAAAATTTCAGAACTTCACTCTTCTACTCATTAAAACTATGTCATTGTTTCCTTATTGCATAATTTATTCTGTCGTTAGGTTGACTTCCAGTTTTCGACTAAATGTTAGACGGGAATTTTTATTAGTCTATCACTACGGAATACTAAATGGTTCGATTAACTGTTTTAGAAAACCAGGATTATTATGACTTAAGAGTTTTATCAAAACGAAGCTGGATTACCTTCACATTTTCTATTTCACTAGATTTTTGAATAGAAAATTTCTAGCTTTATCTCATTTTACCTGTTCGTTTTGAAAGTTTCGCGATACTTCTGGTTTTATATTTTCGATATCTTGATTCCGTCTAATTGTCTAAAAACTTTTGTTTCATTTCATTAACAGCAGATTTTTAGGGAATACGTGCTGTTATCCTCATCGTGTTGATTTTCAGGTTCTGGAAATTCATATTAAATTATTGTGTCATGCAGAGTAAGTTCCAGTTTGACTCGTTGATGTTACTCATCTATGCGGAATACTGTGAACTAAGAATAAGGAAATTAGTGAAGTTCAGCACTGTGTTATGTTACATATTTCAATTATTCAACTGTCAGGTGCTTGAAAAAGCAATCATACCATCTTCGATTTATCAACAGAAATCAGATTTTTTTCGTACAACTGAACTAATTGAATAGTATGCTTTGGACAACCTACGTATGCTCAGTCTATAATTCATTCTTTGTTTGCTTTTGAAACAAAATACACCATGATCACTTTTGTCGAAATAGTGAATAGAATTTAATTGAATATCATTTACTCTACTAAGATTTAGCATTCGGTCTAGAGTTATATCATTTAACTAGGTGATTCATAAATCAATATTTGGATTATTTCTATCTTGGTGAAGATAATACTCATTTTAAACTTTTCATGATTGCTAGTCCGGCTGTGTGCATGTTTTTGACTAAAAATATTAGTACCCCTGGATATTCAAGTTTGTAGGTTTAAAAGCCTTTATCTGGTTTTTTGCAATTGTCAAAAAGTATAAATTGGTTTAAGTAACAATTTTATTTGCACATGCTATGGAAAAAGCTATGAAATAAATATCATAAACAACAGAAATTATCTGTGAACATAAATAAATAAGTAAATAAATAATGGATAACATCTCAGTGGAAGCATCTTGTATGGTGTTTAGTGATACGTCAAGTTAGTTATTTTTTCCTCTTCTTTCTCCCTTTCCGCTTACCCTTACCTTGTTTTGGCTTTAACCTTGACCAACGAAAACCACGAAACATCAGTGCACACGGTGCATTGTGCGCGATGTAGTACAAGTTTTCCATGGCACATAGGCTCATAATATCAATCTCATGTTTAGGCTTTTTCTGCCGAGATGACCGACCTTTGCGTTTAGCCTTCCCAGATTTTCTCTTGGTTCCCTTCTTCAGTTTTTGTTTTCCTTTCGTTTTTGGCTGAAATTCAATTTTAACCAGGTTTATCGTTAGGTAACGTCTGACTTTTTAAATGCATGATCAAGCTTTATACACTTGCCTAACTCTAATTCAACTAAATAAACATGATGCTTTTCCTCTTTTTTCTATAAATGACGTTTATTCTTAAATATAAGACAAGTCAACTTATAAATTCTAGTTCTATCCCATTGCAAAAGTCTAGATGATTTTTAGTGTCTTCAGTTCCCGAAAAATAGACTATCTTATACACTCACTTATATGCAGTCATTGTGTTCTATTATTTAACTATTTAGTTTAAAAAAACTCGAGAAATGTAACTGACTTTTATAGTGTATTGTTGTCATTTACTTGAACTGAATAGCATTTAAAGCTACATACACTAATCATGCAGTTACAATCATCTTTCTCTATTTTTTAATCACAATTGTACATGGCTTTGATCACATGTTTAAAAGAAGCTGGTAATTGAAGACTTATCATGAAATATGTGAACAGTAACTATGTCAGTCTAATTAAATTTACAGATGTGATGTAGTATTCTGTAAACATTTTTGAAATTGAACGGAAAGGGTAATTGGATTTAGTTTTTGCTTCATCCACTAGTTCTGAAGGCAACCCTTTACTGATGATGACACATAAATCGTATCGTTTAAAACATTTTCTAATCGAAAATAAATTAACATTACGAAACCTCAATCCTTATCATTAATTTTAATGAGACAATACTCTATTCATTGTAAAAGGTCATGAAACATAGTATAGTAATTGACTGGTCTAATTATTTCTGTCCAACAATTGTTGATGAAAATTTTCACAAATACATTTGTTTGATGAAGATAGTTCAAATTTGATTATTGTTAACCAATGAACCCTATTATGTGTATTTGGCTCACTACGAACTAAAATTATTACGAGTAGTCTAGTATGTCCAGTTAATAATAAATCCTATCCTAACCTTTTAATTTCAATCTCCAGGATTTTACCTGAGCACCTGAACTTCACTCATTTAACAAGCTAGAAGTTTTGTCGTGAAAAATTGAGGATATTGGTGTTTCTGAAAACTGCTTGATATTGTACTATCACTTTAGAACAAAGTATTTTGTCTTAGATTTTACTCTAATCACGTACTACGAATGTCTTTTAAACATGTGGTGTAAATAATTTTGAGTAACATATTCACTAGTCAATGTTGATCAAGTAAGGGGGTCATCTCGTAGGATGATGTTACACAACCAGTTATTACACAAGTATTGCATCAGTCAATTTTGGTGGCCTTGGTTTTTTATTGGTTGTTTTTGTTCGTCTCCGGATTAATGTTCACTTTCTCGCTCCTCTGATGAGGCTTCTGATTGGCCTTCTCACTGGTTGACAGACATAGTCCATCTCTATTTTCTGTTGAGTTTTGATTAAGATGAATCCTACGTTTCTAGAATTCCTTTTATTTAGAGTTTCGAAATTTTCCTAGTCAGGTTTATACCCGTGGTCAACAACGTGATTTGAAGTCGGTGACATCATATTATATTGTGTCACTGACGACTAGCATTCTGCATGTGTAGGTGAAGAGGATCTACACTTCATCTAGCGTATGTTTATTACATTCGGTACTATTTTATTTGTAGACGACATTGCATTTGTCTTTCAATTTTTTATTTTGGTTGACATAAATTGGAGTGAAACAATCGCTCTGCTTTGTGGCTAGCGGTGATTTGAAAAAGTTCTAAAATACTTGTGATGCCTTCCGAGATGTTGTAAGAATACGATAAAGCTATCAGTTTCTGAAGTTGACTTTGTGATGCCTGTTCAATCTGTTATACAATTTTAAGGAAGTTACTGAGGCGATTATTTTTATGGAACATTAGTTTCTACGACTTTTCGTTTCCTAATAGTGGTGCAGCGCTCATAGGTTAGTTTGAATAGTGTAATGTTGGTTTGCGATTGTTATAATTCAGCACTTAATCAGTATGATTCGACTTCCTAAACTTTTATGTTTATTCTGTTTTGTAAGAAATCCGAGATTGGGATTTTGTTTAGTGATTCTTGCCTTGTAATTTTGATGTCATTCGCGATGTTTTCAATAATTTTATGACTTTTCGAATTGGTCTATCTTTAGAATAATAAGCGTTTCTTCTACGTGACAGGAAACCTATCCACAGAATACCGTCTGTATGTTACTGACCTGTGTCAACTTATATTGTGATAAATTAATTTATTAGATTTGACTGCGTTTCAGTTTACCTCTAAAATTTAAATAAACTGAGAGGCTATTTTTCGTATCTTGTACATCCATTTGTTCTAAGTATATTTATTAATAGATAACTAGCCTTCTTTTATATTTGTGATGAACCTAACTTTATTTTCGCATAGTAGTTTGATCTTTACTTCAGGAAATAAGACTTCTTGTCAAGAGTCATAATGTTAAAGCACATTAAGAAAATTCAAAAGAAAATTTCTTCACCTCTTATTTGGTTAATTTTTCAAAATTAGATGTGTACAAAATCATCCATAGTGCGTTTGACGGAAAAAGCTTTTATGGTGGTTGGATTTTAAAGCACATTACGAAATACTGATTTTCACCACTTTTTAAGGACTCAAAGTAGTTATTTAGTTGTTATGAGTACTGCTTGAAAATACATTAGTAATATATATGGGCCTTCCTTGCTTCTTTCAAACCATTACTAGAGCTAGTATTGACCTGATATATAAATGGAGTGGATTGGCTTCTGTATATCAGTTAGATTCCAAACATTTTATCTAAAAGCAATATGTGTGTATATGCTTGTACATTCTGTGATATAACTCTATTATTGTGGTAGTTTTTTAAACAAGTTTATCGTCATGATGTTTTTGTTCTACATACCTAAAGATTCTACAAGTATTCGGATTCCGAAAGCGCCTTAACCAGTAACACCTTTTCTAATCAAAATGTGTCAATCCAGTCAAATTAAAAGTCATAAGTGACGAGGTTCGAAGATATATATGATAGACTATCGATATATCAATAAGTAATCAATCTAAGCTGGCTAGCGGTTGTATGAGATGTGAAGCACGACGTAACCACTCGTGATCTGGTATGGATGCGCGACCGAGCGCCTTCAGCTAGGTGAGTTCAGTGAAACTAACAAGGTCAGCATCAGATGTCGAAAATTTACAGAGCTATTTATTTTGACGGTTTATTTACAGCTATACACTTATAGCATATCATTTGATATTTTCATGCGAATATATAAGAAAAGACCATGAAAATAACGTCTGTTGGAGAAACTCGAATTTCTTTGTAGTTTCTCTGGGTCATTTTAGTGAATACCATTTGTTTCTACAAAGAAAACCTATGCTTTCACAGACTTACTCACTGTTTGATACAGTCCGGTAAGAAAATCAAAGCCTTACGGTCTTACTTTTCCAAGCTCCCAACTTTGGAGAAAATTCGACCCATTTTGGGGAAGCCGCTGTAGTAAACTTTGGGGAAGTGGCACAAAAACCCCAAAACTTCCCCAAAGTTGGAAGCTTGGGTTCCTGTGTTGTTTTTACGACGTCACTTATAGTTTCAAACACCTGTTAAAATTGATATTGAAAAATATCAGCCATTTTCTTAAGAGACATCACTGTTAAACTTTAATACCACAGTGAAGTATCTACACAATGTAGTTGACAGGCAATGAGCCGTGAAACATCTGTGAAAAGGACTTGTTTGTGAGCAGCGGGTCCAGCACTTCTCAAGGACGTACAAAGGATCTTGGAAGATTATTATTCATACTGAGAATGTGATGCGAGTTTGTACCGACTTTCACATAATACAACACCTAATAATCTCCGAGGTCATAGCAAAAATGTTCATAAACTGCGACCTAATAAACTTAAAGTAAGGTTCCGTTTTTCTCATCGAGTATTCAATGATCGGAACGCCTTACCCGAACAAGTGGTATCAGTCCATCAGTAAATACTTTCAAGGGGGAGCTGGACCTTCACTGGAAAGCGATTTGTCAGGATTTATACAGGCTCACCAATTTACTATCCTTATTACTGAAGACTGACGTAGTTAGGCTTGCTTTAATGTATAGGTGAAGTTAATACCTTTTATCGCATTTAGTTATATCACTTTCCCGAGCTCCCGATTTCGGGGACAATCTGACCACTTTAGTAAAACTTAAGGAAATGGCACTAAACTCCCAAAATTTCCACAAAGTTGGGAGCTTGGGTTCTTTTTTCTTAACTCCCCAATTTTTTCAGATTCAGATTCAATGGTTTCAAAATCAAACTTACAAACTGCTAAATAAAAAAATATGAACTAATTTGCTTAATTAAATGAGGTAGAGGTTTGACTTGTGGTATATGTTTGATGACTTACCATTTTATCTTAGTTTTCAACAAACATAATGGCGATTTGTATTCCCACCGACACTGAAGTCGTGGTAACTGCATTCGTGAAAATAACAAACAAATTTTTATGCTATCCTACTGTGAACATAAGATATTCAATTGTGTTTTGTACCAGTGTTTTGAATGTAATAAGTTTGATCATTGATGAATCTGAACAGTTAGTTTTAATCTTCTTCAGTGCTAATGAAAGGGGTTTCTGATTTCAGTAAGTTACTCATAAAGATTACTTTGTCGTAAGGCCATATACCAAATGTCAGTCAATCTCGAGTATTGAGACTCAGTTTCCTAAAACCTTACTAACGTGCAGGTTTTCTACATTTTTTATAACGACATTTTGATTTCTAGAGTCCTTTGTATTGAGTGACCTTATCCTCGGTTGATGTCATTTGGCTTGATTGGCTTAACCTATTTTTATTGGGAGAAATATTTTGTTTCTTAATCGCCAAGAACATCCATTGTTATGTGCAGTCAAATTCTTGCTTTGGGGCCATTTGACAAGTAATTCCTGAGTCGCTAGGTATCATTTAACTGATGGAGAATAAAAATTCCTTATTTTAGTTACTCTTTATTTTATAGTTGATCTTACAAGCTTGCTGTTGTCATGAGAACTATACTTAGCGGAAAAACACTGTTCATGTAAGTTCAGCTTAGCTTGTACATACCTTTAATGTATTCAATACCACTCCTTCACATTATTTCGCAAAGATTTCTCTATCACTATTCATAATTTGCCGGGCAGTGTTGAATTTCGATTTGCTTAAACCAGAATGTTTCACAGAAATATTCTCCACTCCAGGTCTACTAATATCTCTGCGAACTAAAGGTTTACGTCAGATGCTTCTATAGCGATAATCTGCGATAACTGTCGTGGGTAACAATAAAGAAGCTTTTGATATAAACTACGACCTTGACTAATACGTACTTCGTGCTTGCGATCAAGGCGCGATAGTAATTTTTTGGTTGTATTGCGAATGTGATGCTGAAGAATGAAAAAAAAACAATGAAGCAACAAGGCACTTGGATGCAAATAAAGATCAATGCTTAACCGGTCGTAGAGGACGAGACAAAGCTGTAGTAAATAAGTGGATAAAATTTGTGACATCTGCTACTACCTGAATGGTGTTCTGCAGAAGTCTTCAGATAGGAAAGTATGGTAATGAAGAACAGTTAATCATAATGTGAAACAATGTGTAATGAGTGGAAAGTTGGAATTAGAATCAAGCAGGCTTTTCAGTGAAATCAAAAATGAGGTGAAGAAATTAAGGTGTTTGGAGACGCTAATCACTATATCCTCTATTGCTCATTATTTTTCTTTATTATTCTAGGTCATAACGTCAAACCCTAAGTTTGCATGGGTTATATGTTATCACATTCGAGTAGCGAAGCCAGGATAAAAGTGGAAATATGAATCTGGACAGCGGTGTATGAAAAAACTTCAACATCATTGACTGATTATCACATTCTTAATCATAAAGAGCTTCAAAAAAACAAAGCGTTCTACCCCACAAATATGATTGGACTGAAGTAATCTTTCTCAACATAAATGCTTGCTGATCAGAAACTACACTCTCTTTTCTTTTGTGATGTGAAACTTTAAAGGTTACTTTTAGAGAGGATTGAGGGTAGAGTTACTGACTAGCAAACGTTGATGGTTAGGGCGATAATTTCAATACATCTACGTTTGTGTAGCAGATTATTTTAGTTCACTTCGCTCTTTATGAATGGAACAACCGTTCGAAAATACTGTGCTATGCTTGCTGCTTCTTTGATTTACGTTTTCTACCTTTTATCGGTTTACCTATTCTGCCAAGTTAACATATCACACACATTTTCAGACACCAAAACACAGACCTGACAATTGTCATCCAACGATAACAATAAAAACGGGTAATCAATAAACAAAGATTATTGTGATGAAGTCATATGGATATTCATATAATTTACACCACTGTTTGTTTTCCAGGATCAATAAATATTTGTCTAACCTTGCTCTTCAACCTTCCGTTAACTAAGGCCTGTTTTACCTTTGAAACTTTTTACACTCTTCGTTTAATTCATATGATTTATCTGAAGTTCCTTAATCGACCAGCTTGTGTTCTGCCTGCCAGTAGTCATATTTTAACCCCTCCCATTTCAAAAACTTATAAACACTGAGCTTATCGACTGTATTTTGTTTCTTGTTTTGCTGCTTATTTTCCTTTCCTTCTTTTCGGTGTCAAGAATGAAACACGTAAAAATGGAATTTGTGGTGCATGAGTTTTTTTTAGTTCGTACAATGAGCCATTTTTAAACAAATTATAACAACTATTGACTCTTGATGCTGTGCCAATATCAAACCTGTATATTAACTTGCTTGTTTATCTGCATCAATATTCTGTCAAAATTTCTCATTTCACCTCTCTGTTTAGTATCATTTCTTTGGCAATATTTATCTATCAATCCACGTAGCAAATTATTGTTTCCGCCCTTAACAATGACTCGTGCATGCTATTTATTATGATTACTCATAAAATTATTCATATTCTTATGTAGCGAAATCTACCCCCCTGTTTCTATGTCATATCACGTATCAACCTAACTGAGTGGCTTATTATGATGAACCCTGCAACGTTTGTGGCATTTTGAACTTGAACTCAAACTGGATGCCTTCTGCTGCACGTTACATGGAAAAATTACTATTACTACTATGTCATACTCTATGCCCTATGTTTTGTGTTCTGTCAGATGACACTAGTTCTACGAGTACCTTGTTACAAGCCTAATAGACGTTTTCGAATTTGGACTGTGTGTAAGGCTTAGATGCAATGCTTTAAATTACTGTGGTATATTGCGTCTTTTTTCAAAACATTTATTACATTTGGAAAGGTATAACGGCAGACAGATATTTGTCGATGTAGTGGGGAGAAAGTGGTAAGATATCAGGCAACGGGTAATGTGTCAAAATTAACGGTGGTACAGTAAAGTGTATGTGAAAGTAATTAGCTGATGAAAAATTGACTAGAAAAAATCAATATAAGGTTGTGTTCACTTTGTATTGTGTTATCACAAATGGGTGATGACTTACAAGCTCTATAGACCCAAGACTACTCAAAGTACGGAAGAGATTTGTGTTGTTCAAGCGATCCCTTTTTAGGACAGTAGAGAGCATCCCTTGCATCTAACCGTAGTTCGGTGGTATCGTAAGATTCGTTGAGTTTATTTTTGCTTCAGTTAAAAATTAATGATATCCATAAAGCTACGGTATTTCCACACAAGCGTATACACAAGGCTACATGGATCTCACCGGACCACACTACAGAGAACCAGATAGACCATATTTGCATCAACAAAAAATTCCGAAGAACAATGGAAGATGTGAGAACCAGGAGAGGAGCTGACATAGCTTCAAATCACCACCTAGTTGTAGCCAATTTAAAACTGAAGCTAAAAAAGAACTGGACAACTGGACAAACAGCAATACAAAGGTTCAATACAGCCTTCCTTCGAGATACTGACAGACTCAATGAATTCAAAATAGCTCTCAACAACAGGTTCCAAGTCTTACCAGATCTACTGAAGGGAGAAACTAATATGGAGGATAACTGGAAAAGTATCAAAGAAGCATAAACTTCAGTGTCAAGAGGTTCTAGGCCTAAAGAAACACTATCATAAGGAGTGGATCTCTATAGAAACACTGTAAAATGTGATCGATAAAAGAAACCAACAATAATAAAGGGAAACGCCCACCACCACATTAACTTCCTTTGACCTTGTACGACTGTATCTCTTTATTAACCAATCACAGTTTAATGTTCATTGTAAAACAATATTTGCTTGTTGACTCATTTTTCCTATTCTCTGGCTACTGTTCGGTATGTTATTGTCTCTTTTTCCCTGTATTAATAGACTGTACTGTTCGTTTGCACACTAACGATGTTAATTTATGTTTTAGAAACAGATAAAGTTTATCTAGCCAAATAGCTTGCTTTTTCTGACTTTGCCTAAACCAAGACTCTGTATTCGACAGTCTAGAGATTAACTTAGAGTTGAATCTGTAGGAAATTGCTTCCTACAAAGTTTCGAACAGTAATTTCGATATACCTATTGCAATGACGTCCAATAAGTGCTACAATTCTGATGAGATTCCAGAGTTATCACCCCATAATTTGGGAGTTTATGACGAAGACCAACCTGAAAAGAACGAACTCGAAAACAATAGCATGATAGAACTAGAGTTAGCTAGGTTGCGCATAACCCAGTTGGAAAAGGAAATTGAACTAGAAAGGTTACGCCTCCAGAAACGTGAAGGTTCCGGCCAATTAGTAAGTAACAGTGAGAATACAATATTAAAAAATCTGTATTTACCAAAAAGAGAAGTCTTAAGATTCGATGGTACACCGACAAATTATTGGAATTTCATTAAAAATTTCGAAGAATGCATTGGGAGTGAGAATATTGGATTCAGAGCAAAGCTAAATTACGTGATTCAATATTGTGACGGAGAAGCGAAAGCCGCTATCCTTCATTGTACTATACTAGAACCAGAGATAGGTTACTATCAAGCCCTAAAGCTTTTAGAAGAAATGTTTGGCCAAAAACACGTCGTAGCACGCACGTTTATCGATAACTTGTTAAACTTTCCCAATATAAGGAGAAATCAACCAGATGGTTTGAGAAGACTATCTCGAGAAATGCAAGCTTGTAGTTTGACTCTCGAACAGATGAATTACGTTTCTGAATTGAACTCTTCTAGAACTATTGAAACTATGGTTCTGAAATTACCAACCCACATTAAACAAGAGTGGCTAAAGGTAGCTTATAAGATTATCAGAGGAGGCAGAGAGCCTCTGTTCACTGATCTTGTTGAGTTTGTAAAGAAGCAAGCTGATATAGCTAATACTAGATACGGCCTGCTCGTCAACCGCGGTAGTAATAGTGACAATAGAGATGTTGGCGTTTTAAAAGGAAAAATTAGTGCAGATTACAATACAGCAAAGATATCTTATGTGCGTACTAGTGATGATAATGCTCCCTTA